GACAGAAAAAGCTTAAATTACTCTCCAGACTTAGAGACAGAGGTACCAGACATAGAGAAGGGCTAGAACAAGGAATGAGAATTTACAAAGGGAGCACATAGAATAGTGAGCTCCCTGATCCCCTTCCACCTCCCCGTTTCAAGAATACCAGCCTCCCAAATAGGAGAGTGGAGAATTTACCCCTTGAGACCCAAACCTAGTAAAAGAGAGACCTCTAGATTCAGAAATTCAAGGGTCTCCCACAGCAAACACTTGCTTACCTCTTGATCATACTGCTCTAAAACTCATCCACTAACAAGCTCTAAAAATGGACATGAAGCTTCCAATTAGCTTTTTAGTAGAATTTTCTCTTAAGTATTATAGATAATGACCATAAGACATTTGAGGAGATCCTCTAATATATAAAGACCTAAACAAACAAAATAAATCTGTAGGAAACTGCATGCAGAGAATAAAAGCAAATAGTGTTTAAGGTATATTTACAACCTCAGAGAAATAGAAGATGAAACAAGAACAGGCTGTTATAGAACAGGAACAAGACATAAAATAGAGCTCTTGGAAAAGTGTTAAACAGTACCTACAGGAAAAACCTTGTCAGATGAAAACATTTTATTTCCACGAATTTTTCTTTAGAAAGCTTTGAAGAGATGAGCCCCATGAAAATGAGAAGAAAGGGGAAGAGATAAAAGCATTAAAACAGAGTCCAAGACAGGAAAACACAAAGATAAGTTTCAGAATGATAGCCAAGTGTCAAAGCAAGAAAGTAATCAACCCAAACTGAAGAAAGAGAAAAAAAGATTTCTGGAGAGAGTTCTCTAAAAAAGAATAACCAAATAGTTCAAAGACAACTGATAAATGGTCATATGATAGCTATTTAGAAAATATTGAAATATGGAGATGAGGCCATTATTAGTTTTCTAAGTATTTTAAATGATTAGAGAAGTAAACATACCTTATTTTTCCTCATCATTAAATTTTATTTACAGGTATGATAATAATCTTAATACTGAAGAATAAGTAGGAGCAATAGGGATGGCAAATAAAGCAATGTACTTATATTTCATGAATGGAACTCAATAAAATATAGCTATCATTGATAACTAAAGAGAAAACAGTAATAACATTATTCAGAAGTGATAGAAAAAAGAACTAGAAAATTTTAAAGGGTTGCCTCTGAGGAGTAGAGGGAGGATGAAGAAAAGTAAAAACCATTCTGTTGTTGTTATAAGCCTATCAGTGTTATTTCACTGTTGACTAATTCACCATGAAGATAAAAACAGAAAAAGGTTACTTGAAACACCAGAGTAAAGCACAACCCAAGCAGGTACAGGTATAGCTATTATGGAAATGAAGATGATCCTTCCTAATGGAGTAGAGAAAGAGCAAACCTGGACAAGACAAATACAAAAAAAGAGTGGGCGCTGGGCTATCAAGATCACTGAAAGGCCTGCCAAGCCAGACAACAGTGGACTCTGTTGGGGGTGGGGCGGGGGGCGGTTAGGCTGAGGCAAGGGAAGTGCCTGGAATGCAGGCACTTTAGGGAGAGAATCATTCTCAAAGATCTAAGGTGCCTTGCTGGACCCTGAGAGCTACTGCCTCAACTTTGCACTCCATGGGCCTCCTTTGACTCATCCTAATGCCAGCCTCTCAGTCCCAGTCCTCACTCCAGCCATAGTTGGTTGAAGCTGCAGTGTTTGCAGCTGAGCATTGTTCACTAAACAGCAGAAATGTATGGGAAGAGCTCATTCATGGGAAAGAAAATCACAAGGCAGCTCTAGCTGTGAGTTGTATGTAGTTGTATGTAGGAAGGAGTACCACACTGTTCTCCTATAATCAGAGGGTCAGTGTACAACAATCAGAGGAATGATCCACCAAGAAGATAGGGTAAAAACAAACCTTACTCCATGCAAAAGCAATGCACCAAAATACAGAAACAAATTATTGAAAATACAGGAGAACTTTTGCAAATCAGACTCTCGGAAACTGACTAGTGAGATATATGGAGAATAAGAAAGTAGATTTGAAAAACACAATTAACAAGCTTGATTTAATGAGCAGATGAAGATATTTTCCTAAACAGAGAACACACATTCTGTTTCAACATGCATGGGATATTTACAAAACTTTAAGCTTTCAACTACAAAGGAATTCTTAACATATTATCCAAAGCAGAAATCAGACAGCTCCATTTTCTAGGTTTTTTTGGGGAAAAAAAGATAGTCCCCCCCCAAAAAAGCATTAATCATTTAAGTGCGTTTTAAACATTTTTCCTCACTCATCATAAGGTTCCTGGTTGAGACCATTACAACAAAAGAGAAATTAGCAAGAAAAAAACCATACAAACATATTTAATCATAGTTTTATGTGACAGGCAGGCCTTCAGAACTGAAGAGTCAAAGAAATAGGGACACCTGTGTATTTTTACACTAAAATTTGACGAAAAGTGGACAGTTGTGTCCAATTATGATTTGGAAGATCTCCTGATGATAAACTGAGGCACACTTTGTGAGGCCTGTGTTCAGGTTTTTCTTGGCATAGCTTTATGATATTCCTTCTTTCTGGGGCACCTGCCACTGAGGGTTCCTAGGGGAGAAGCGAGTGACAAGGCTTTATTATCTGCTTCAGGATGGTGAGGGACAGGGTGTGACTTTCCTGATTATGCTGTTTCTATTTCCAAGGTTCCACATTTTGGGGCAGTACGTCCTGAGCTCCGCACATTCTATTACCTCCTTTCATTTTGCTTTAGTTTATATGATTGGCCTTTTCTGGGTCTTTTGACTGAATACCTAGTTTATTTTTGTAATCTCTCATGATTTTCCAGTCAATACTTTTAGACTACAAATTACCCTCTAAATTCAGTTTTACTGGTCCAAAAGTTTTTCTGTGTATTGATTTTCTTATCTTTCATAGCTGAATAGTACATAATTTTATAGTTTTTTATTCTTTTCTATCCAAAAAGTTATTGTTTTACAAGTCTAAAGGTCAGAAGTCTGAACTGCATTTCTCTGGACAAGAATCAAGGTAGTGGCAAAGCACTGCTTGCTTCCAGACCTAGCTCAAAACAATAGTCTGTCTGTGCCTTCCATTTTCAGTAGCCAGTGGCTGCCCACATTGTTTGTCTCATGGCTTCATCCCTTTGAGTACAAAGCCAGCAGGGCTGGGTTGAGTCTATCTCATGCTCTGTTCCTCTCACACTAACTCTGCTGCCTTTCTCATGCACATTTAAGGACACTAGATGCACCTCGATAGTCCAGGACAATTAGGGACTTTAATTCCATCCACAACAGTCATGTAGCACATTCACAGGTGCTGGGAATGAAGGTGTGGCCATCCCCACAAGTTTACACCTTCCTAAACTATTTTAGTTTGTAAACTTACAAACATGTATCACTTTCATAATTTAAGAGTACCTGAGAGAATTTCTTAAGAATTAAACTTATTTTTATAATGATAAAAATATGATGTTTCAGGATTAGGTATAAATATTCCATAAATGGAATATTTCCACAGACCTGGCAAATACATAGGTGGAGAAATACATAGGTGGAGAAATACGTGGGTGGAATACAGCATTATACTCAGGGCATTTTTCAGACCATGGAAGAAAAGGAATGGGGCAGTCCACAAAAGGAAACCTGAGATGTTACTGAAAATAAAAGGCGTGATCTTTATTCACACCATACCACAAATAAACCCCATGAGGATTTGCAAAACCTTGAAAACTTGCAAAAATTAACTATTGGAAAAAGATGTAAGAAAACATATCTGTAATCTTGGGTAGTGAAAGCTTTCCCAGTTCATAAAGCACAACTTAAGAATATTAAGATAAAACAAAGTAAAAATAAAGCAACAGGCTAAGAAAACAATACTTGATAATGTATGTCCAAGAGAACCAGAATCCATAATCTAAAATAAAGATCTTTTATAATCTGACAAGAAGACAACACTAAAGGAAAATGAGCAAAAGACATGAACAGCCCAATTCTCAGAAGAAATGTGATGGCAACTAATATGTAAAATTACATTCAACTCACTAATAAGGAAAGATAAGTTATAAGTTAAAAAAGAAGTATTTCTCTAGACACGATATGTTCCCTAACAGCAGACACTGATGTGCCAAATCAGGGTCTGAAGAAAGGTCCTGCTGCTGATTATTCCAATGAGGCCTTAAAGAAGTTAATTTCTGTGTGCCTCAGTTTCCTTACATGAAAATAGGGATGATAATAATACATCTTAACTCTGAATTATTGTTAGGATGGAATGAGTTACTAGACATAAAGTGTTGTGAAGAATGCCTGTGCAGAGCAGTCACTCAATAAATGCTGGTTCCATGCTGTATTATGACACAAGCACAAAGATGCTCACCAGCACATGCTGCCAACACACACATTTACACAGAAGTTCACCAGAGCATCGTTTGCTGTAGCAAAAACTGGATGACTATGAATGACATCAACAGGCAACAGATGGATAAATTTTGTACCTTTAAGATACAGAATCACAATTAGCTATTTAAAAGCACAAGGATGATCTGGAGCACCAATATAGCAAGATTTCTATAGTAAATTATGTGGGGAGAAAAAGCAAGTCACAAGCTTCTATAGAATTCTCAGAATTACGTTCTTCAATATAAATATATAAATATATACTCACATGTGTACATGTAGCATACACACAGAAAATGTTACAGAAAGACTCTCAACTAACAGGAAAGGTGATCACCAAGCAGGGAAGTTGGATTGGGGCAGAGGGTCAAATGAAGAGCTAATCAAATAAACTGCAGTTTTCTTCTAAAGGAATCATTTAATACTTTTTAGATTGTTTAAAAATATAAAAAATCATGGTCAATTCGAGTAAATTATCAAAAAAGCAGACACAAGGACAATGGTAGGAAAGAGAAAATTATGAAATGATAATTTTTTTCTAAGAAAAGTTAGAAAGATTGGCAAAGGAATTTGTCTACTCATGCTTCAAAGAATGTCAATCTAGTGATGGGTTTTCAAATACTTCAGATGTAGCCTAAGAATGTGAAAGCCATATATCTTCAAGGACAAACATTCTATAGTAAACAGTCTCCATTCACTGTTTCCATTGTACATAACATTTTGCTAAGTTTTATGTCTCCAGGAAGGTAATGTTTTCAAACTCAAACCATGGGCCTTCAATATCACTTTAGATGACATAAACAAATTAAAAATAAGGCCAACCTAAGCCAGTTGTGTTTATCAACCTGATCCCCTCTGAAAAGAAGAAATGAAGGCAAATACCCTTTAATACTATTTATTAGTGGAGTAATATAATACATTTTGACAAGTTGAACAGTTGTAACAGGCGGCTGTTAAAATCTCTACAGGGCCTGTTTAGAATGAAAACAGGAGTGAGAGACAGCTCTATAACTGGGTTTTAAGAACAGCTCAGCCATCAACTATATCCTAAGCAAGTACTTTTATCCAGTTAATTTAAGGAGTGAATCCCTTAGGGTCTCTAGCCGTCTACCACTGCAGCTCATTAGAGTCCAATATCCAACTTTTCTCATTGTAGCACTGAAAGCTTGTATGCTTAAAATGTAATTAAACTTAAAACAAACAAGATCTTTATTCCCTGACAGTCCTGCTCTTTTTAAATTGACAAAGGCATGAACTTATATAGGATTATTTAGAAAGCACTATACGTTTCAGCCACTTATGGCAAGACATTTGCCCAACTGTTCATCCCACATGCAATTAGAAATCTAAATACTTGGGTAACGGGTTTCTGTTGGGAATTAAACTTGCAGATCTCTTACAAACGGGTAATGTGGTAAGACTTGCTGTCCAATGAGGTGTCTTATTGAAATATCCCAGGCCGTTTCACTTGTCACAGCTGTCGTTTCAGCCGCCTGCACTCACAGTGTATAGCTTTCATTACGAAAATAGAAATTTGTGTCCTAAGTGCTGTTACATTACTAATGCTAAATATTTAATTCCCTGGGGTTCCAATTATGGTTGAGCACTGGCAACACTGATTCTACTTTTTAATAACAACTGTAAAAGCAATTTGAGCATTTTTCAATTAATTAAATACATAGTGAACGAGTAACCTCTTGTCATTTTGCCCTCCAGGACCTGAGCTAATTGGTGTAGAATAAAATGTTTTGAAAATTAACTGATATTCTGCTCTGCACAGTTATACCATTAAATTACAGTTTGCAAAATGAAGTTTGTCTTCTAATAGTTATACTCAATACAGTCTGCAGATGTGAGAAAGTACCTGTGTTTTAAGTACTTAGCAGTGCCAATTAGAGATAAGTTCAAAGTCAAGTATAGTTTCTCTAAACACCAGTCAGTATCAATAATACTTTGTATTGTTCAAGATAAATGTAACAAATTTCAACACAGGAAAGTTCCCCAGATTCCATGACATGTTTTCACAATTTAGTTTAAATATTTTGAAAGTTTGCTTGAAGAATTCCCATCATTAATTATATTCACAAAGAAAAGTTCAAAATAAACTTTAGATTTTTTTCTAAAAGAGAAAGCCACAAACCAAATGTCTGGGAAAGTCCTTCCTTCTTAAACACTTTGTTGCAGTTTCTCGTTTCACCATAGAACGATGTCATAAATCAGCTCCAAATTGGTGTTTCAGCTGAAAACAATGAATCATAACAGAAATGCCACATTTTAAAATGAACCTTTCTCTGAAGGAGAATGAAATGTGATTAAAGAGACCATCTTCTTGTAGAAAAACGGTTCTGACAGGTGTTCTTCCAGCTCTGAGTCTTGACTGGCCATAATCTAAAACCCATGCTCACAGAAGTGAAGGTCTTTTTGGCAGCTGTCTGTCTAACAGAGATGATCCCCTGAACAGGTTTTACTGAATGAGGAGTCTCAGCAGAAGCATTACCGATCGGAGTAAGACTGAGAGTGAAATTAATCACTCTGGGAGAGAGGGAAAAATAATAGGGAAAATTTAATCATTTCCATACCAATCTTTAGAGTTTAAATCTTTAATATTTCTAAGATTATAGTAACATCTTTGAGAAATGAATCTAATTACAGGATTAACTTAGTAGCACCAGTCAGTTAATGTAAGTAGATCACCATAAATTTCTGATTTTCTTCTAAAACTAAAGAGGATAATGAGGACATTTTAGAATTCTGGGGTTGAGCTGACTTCTCATAAAGGAATCTGAGGTCCATCAGCAAATACACACACCCACACAGAAATGAAAACAAAAATATAAATTTGTTGAGGGATTATTTAAATATTAATCTATAAGGAATGTAACATCTTAGTAGACCATCAAAAACATTGGATAACTATATCCTCTCGTTAACACTTTTTTTGGTGCTAGGGAAGATTAACAAGTCTTAAAACAATAAGCTGTAGAATCTGTAAATTACATATCAATTATTTTTGACAAAGACTATTTTTCAAACCCAAAGAACAGCTTTATTTTAAAATCTAAAAGCAAAAGAATTTGTACTTTCAAAACGAATGGTACAGGCACTGTATTAAGAAATGGATCAGAATTTATCCCCAAATACTTCTGCCTCTAGTTTTGAAAAACAATTTCATTAACTGACTATTAACGTTGACTAAAACACAACTAAGCAAAATACAGTAATACCTAATTCTCTAAAATCACTGGAACATTAAGGCCACTATATTTAGTACCAATGAACCCAAATTATTGCACCCAGCTGGCCAGCTGGAGTCGGTTGTTGAATACCCATGGGCAGCCTCAGCCTTCTCCATGGGCAGCCGGATGATGATCCTTCTCCCCCTGAAGGTCACATGCCCTGTGATGAAGTCCCTCTCCCTCTCTCTGTGTGACCATGTACTCAGAGGGTTTGGCGACCCCAGTCTACCTAGTCAGAAGCAGGTCTTAGTATCACCCACCAAGATGACTACTAGAACTAGTGGGAAAACTCACTGGCATTGGAAGCAGAGGGTCTGGGCCCAAACCTGTGAGAGCCAACAGTGGGGTGACCTTGAGAGAGTCACTCTATACCTCTGCACCGATGGCCTCTTGACTATGACACAAGGGACACTATAATCTCTGCACTGTTCTGAAGCCCTGAGGAGAAAAGATAAAGACAGTGGAGAAGGTGTAACACAGTATGCAAGACCCCAAAACTTAGGTCCAACATTCATCTGCTGGCACTTTCAACAAAGCATTTTTCATTGCTACTGTGCTAAGAACCTAGGTAGAGTAAAGAACTGTACATAATGCATCCAAAATAATGTGCAAAATGAAAAGAAAAACTACAATTATTATGGGCTCTGTAATTTTGTTCAGATACTTTTTTAAAATTAAGGCTTTAGCTTTAGTCCCAGTGAAGTACAAGCCAAAGAACATATGTTTAGGGTTTATAAACAATAGGATAAAGCAGAGAAGGGATGGGCTGGGTTCTAGCTTTGTGGTGGAGGGCTTGCCTGGTATAAGTGAGACCCAGGGTATGCTCCCCAGCACTGCAAAAGAAAGGAAAGGGAGATTTAGCAGGATAGTATCATTATATATCCATAAAAAACTCACAAACTTACAATGAGGCCTGTTTTAAACTGGGTTTTTTATTGTAGGTTGTGTTCAATTAGCTCCCTTGGGTCTGTGACTCAGGGCCCAGAGCTCCCTTGACCTGGCTGGAAGCAGCCTTTGCAGAGCTCTGGGAGGAGAAGGACGTGAAGAGGAGGCAGGGGAGATACCTCCTTCTTCTCACTACCCAGGGGTTAAAAACCCACATGCTGGTGACTAAGACTCTAATGTGGGACCAGAATTGCTTGCAAGTAAATCCACGACTGCAGGGCTGGGGATTTAGCTCAGGGTTCTGCTGCCTGCCTCATAAGCGCAAGGACTCAAGTTCGATCCCCAGTACCAAAAAAAAAACAACCCACGACTGCAGAGTCTGACCACCAGTGACCTGTGGAAGCCCTTCCACACTCCTCTAACCATATTCTAACAAGCTCCATTCCGTGATCTCCAACTACACAGAAGCTTAAAGGCAGTGATCTGAAAGTCAGGAGATCTAGAGATAAGGCCAGTGAAAAATACAACTGGCAGCAATCAAAGTCATAGAAGAGTTTTAAGCAATGCCAGTGAGAGTTAAAACAACTTAACAACAACAAACAACTAAAACAAAATACCGAAATTATTTAACGAGAACTGAGTTACACAGTCCAATTTTTACTGATGACCATGACTTACTGTCAAAGTTAAATGAGATTTCATATATCATTTTCAGGTTACGAGGCAAACATATTATAGAAAGATTTCCAACACAAATAGTTAATGTTAATTCTTAAAATTTGGCTATTTTGAATAACCCACTTCTCAAGGGTTCCAGATTATAGTGGTTTTACTGTAGTTAGATAGTTTTATGGTTAATGTCCTGTGGTATACATAAATATAGCTTAGCCTAAGCGTCTCCACTGAAAATATGTGTGCTATAAAATGACAAATAAAATAGGTCAATAACTAAACTCATAGTAAATAACTCAAGCATTAAAGTACATAACATAACATTAGAATGAACTAAAATAAGCCAGTCCTCTCTAAAATTGACAATAAATTTATTCAAAATGGTCTTTCAAAAATGAAAAACTAAATGTCCCAAGATAAATGGAGAGAAAAGAGGTTAAAATTATGAACCTAAACACAATACGCTCATGAGAAAAAGCTGTAGGAAAACAAATTTAGCTTATGCACCTGTGATTATCAACTAACATACCCTGTCATTCATGATGGGTCACCTGTGGGCCAGGGATTTAGCTCAGTGGTTCTGGCGCCTACCTCCAAAGCAGAAGGACCAAAGTTCGATCCCCGGTACCAAAAAAAAAAGATATATCCATGATGGTTCACTTGGATGGTCAACTGATGGAATTGAGAGACTCAAGGAGAGGTGATTGGATTGTGAAGCGAATATCCTCATCAATGGGTGAACCCATTGATAAATTCATAGCTGAATGAGCTATTCAGAGTTGGGGCCTAGGTGGAAGAAGTGGGTCACAGGGACATGACCTTGAGGACTGTCCTTCCTCTCTGGCTTTTTCCAACCTACTTTGCTTCCTGGACACCATGACTGAGCATGATGTTTTTGTGTTGAGGTTAGCTGATCATGGACGAAAACCTCTGAAATCATGAGCCAAAAATAAACCTCTCCTCCTTTAAGTTGTACATGTCAGGTATTTTGTCTCAGTAACAGAAAGCTGACCCAATATACTATTCTGTTTCAACTTTTACATTGTAAAGTTGTAGTGCTCAATAAACTGTTGAACGGAAATGTAATTTACAAATGTCTAGATGCCAGACTTAAAAAGATGAGAGATATCAGGAATATCATTAACTCTTCTCAACCCGGATTAAAGATCTTATAAACACAGGTCACAGGAAGGTCCATACAGCTTCTACTCCACCATCAGAGGACATCTTAGGACTCTGCAACTAATGAGTGAGTGGGAGCAGATTATTCATTGTTTATGTTATTTTGATGGAAGAAAGATGTGGAGATTTAAGAACTGTAATGGTAAACCCAGTGAGATCTTTAACAGGCTGTTAGGAGGCAAGGTAGAGGAAGGGGGACATTCTCTCTCCTTCAGAATCTAGTCTACAGCTTGTCTTTGTAAATGCTACTGGGGCACTTTTGTAAAAGTGTCACTAGATCACAGTTGCATCCCTTTTTGTATGGCTGCTTTTGTACTACAATCACAAAGCAGTTGCAAGAGAGGTTACCTGGTCAAGAAAACCCAAAATATTCACTATGCAGTTCTTTATAGAAAAAGTTGGTCAACCCCTTCTGTGGAGCATCTCCGCCTGAGAAGGGTATGAATCCCAGCAAATCTCCTCCATCCTGGAAAGCTACTTCCCCTTGCTCCACTTTAAGGAGCCTCTTCCCTATCTATACCCACTGTTATGGTTTATATCTAGATGTCCCTCCAAAGCCTCATTTGCTCATATGTGGGGCTTTGGGGAGGTGACTGGATCATGGGGGTGGGATGATCATCAGTGAATTAGACTTTGATAGTTTATAGCCAAATGTGATGTTGGGAAGTAGAGCTTGTTCAGAGGAGGCGGGTGACAGTGGACATGGTCTGGAAGGCTGTATTTTTCTTTCTGGCTGCTCCTCTGACTGCTTCCAGGTTGCCACGATATGGCCAGCTATTTCTTCACTATGCCTCTCTACCATGTTGTCCTGCCATGGAGCCACTGTTTTATGGACTGAAACCTATACAAAATGTGAGCCATTACTCCTTTAAGGGGTGGTGTCTGGTACTGAGTCTCAGCAATGAGAAAGTAACTAAGATAGCCACCCTATCCAGGCTCATATGTTGAGATGCTGGATCTTGCATTATTTGATAATGACTCCTTTCTAAATTTTTTTTTAGGGTTTATATCTAGATATTCCCCCCAAGCTTCATGTGATCATAGGTGGGGCTTTTGGGAGATGACTTGGTTAGGGGGTGTATAGCTGACATGCTGTTAGTAGGTGCACTCTGGTTGGAAGAGGTGGATCACTGGGGGCATAGCCTACAAGGCTATATCTCCATTCCAGACTCCTCCCTTGATTCTCTCTCTGCTTGCTGGTGGCCATGCCATGAGCAGCTCTCTGCCCAGGACCTTCCATCATCCGTTCCTGCCTTGGAGCTGGTGTACTATGAACGAAAAGGATGAACCAAAATAAACCTCTCCTTCTTTAAATTGTGGTTATTGGGTATTTTGTCCCGGCAATAAGGAAAAGTAACTAAGACAATGTTTAAAATACATCCCTCTTTCCAGTTGTGGCACGTCCAGTGAAGATACAATACACTGAAATGACCATAGGTGCGGCTTAGCTTATAAATTCCCTTTCTTGCTCCACACTTACACAACACTGACTGAGCATCTAGGTCTATCCTTTGACTTTAGGTGCAGGAAAGTCTCAAAAAGAAAGATGTTGACCATGATGTAGCTCAGAGGTACAGCACACAATTAGCATGTGGGAGGCCTTGAGTTCCACCCTCAGGATCAAAAACAAACAAATAAATAAAAACCAAGGAAGATGTTAAAGTATGCATGGGATCTTGCCAAGAAAGGGTAGGAAGCAGGAAAAGCACAGGTATAGGGTTGAAGCACATTCTCTAGGAAAACAGAGAAGGTTGTCCCGGCAAGGGTATGGAAGGAGGCTGGCTGAGTCCACTATCAAGTGGTGATCTTGTGAATGGTCCTGAGAAGCTGACAAGTATTAGGCAGGAGGACCCAAGTAAGGTCATCTTTCTGACAGAAAGGATGAGGTGATGGAGAATGGGAAACATCTGTGATTCCCCCACTGTGTCTACTCCAGAACCCCTAATTATCCTTCCAAGTACACCACAGACAAAATAAATGTCCCTAGGTCTTAGGGTACCTTCTAGACAACTGCAAGAAGGGGATCTTTCCACCCCAAATCATCATGCAAATTATCATTTTTCTGACTGCCTCCTAGTCCCATGCTGGTTCTATCCGCAGTGAAGATGAACTGTTAGTGGTTGTTGCTTTGTTCCGCTTCTAATTTCTAATCTGCTGTTACATTAGTTAACTACCCTTACTAAAACAAAATACCTGACAATTAACTTATAAGAAGAAAAAGCTTACTTTAGTTCATAGCTTTAGAGTTTTAGTACATGCTGAGTTGATCTCACTGCTTTGGGCCTGAGGTGAGAGAGCATAGCAAAGCCAAGCCATACATTACAAACCAGGGAACTAAGAGAAAGAGGAAGAGACCAGGGCCTCACAATTCTTACTGCAGGGACGTCTTCTGCCCATTGACCTAAGAGCTTCCCATTAAGGTCTGCATCCCAAAAGTTCCACCACTTTCCAAGAGCACCACCCTGGGGACAAAGCCTTTAACACACAGGCCTTTGGGGGACATTTGGATCCAAACTATAGCAGTTGCAGAGAGATTTTTGTACAATGCAAAATTATGTACTTGGGTATTATGATAATGTCAAGTTGCTGTACAAGTCTCTAAATGCTTTCATTTATGTGCATTTTTCTTTTTTGGTCAAAAACTGATAAAAGACATTTGTAGATTTCTGGTTTGGAAGTTGTCCCTTTATCCTAACAAA